TGTATAGTGTATAGTCAAGTACTCACGTGTATAGTGTACCGTCATGTACTCATGTGTATAGAGTATCATTAAGTAGTCATATGTATAGTGTATCCTCAAGTACACATGTGTATAGTGTATCATAAGTACTTATATGTATAGTGTATCTTCAAGTATATGTGTAGTGTATCCTTACAGACAAGATTTTCAAGCATTTGGGAAAATTTTCCTTGCAGGTAACCAAATGTCAAGCCCTGCAACGAAAACAACCGTGCATCAATTACATAAAGCCTAAGCTGCTATGTAAATAATCTTTACTAACTGTATTAAAACAACAGATTTCTAAAGAAACAATGCAGATGATTTACAAAGCACAACCAAATATGAGGGTATTATACGTTACTGAGAGCAAAGTTCGAATACAAGCACGATATTTAAAGTAGAAATTCGGTAACTTCCATACAACATACGATGATCATAAATAGCGTTGGACGATTATCAAAAAAATCAGCTCATGATTATTTTTTAGGAAATTATCACGATATTCGATAATATCGCGATAAATACGATAACAAAATGCACCACATTGTTTTTAAATTTTGATCAATAAAATGAACTAAACATAATCAACAAAGTAACTAAAGTTTTATGTTAGTTACTCATATTAAAACTATCTTGGTTATGCAGCGGGCACACAGCGCAAGCAAAGCATGCAATTTCATTGTTTAGCGCATCAATACATAAATATCAGTGATTTAGTCTAGCTTTTGTACTTTACTATATCGTATTAATTTGGTAAATTTATGTTTGAGCTACGTTTTCCGGAAATAAAAAGAATCATTTGGGTTCTATAAAGCTAAATGTACACAGGCAAAAATATCATGATAGTCATCAAGCATGACAATAACTTCGATAAATCGATTTATCGAAATATCACCCAACCCTAATCATAAATGTGTCAAAGTGTTGGTAAACATCAAAATCCCCTTTCAAACATGAATTCAATAATGAAAAATTTTTTTATGATCTATTTTGTAGTGGCTGCATAGTCCATTAATAAAAATAGCTCTGTGTTTTGATGCAATTGGGGTTTCAAGAGAATAATAAAGACAAGCTTACCGCTGTTTCAACGTAGCGTCTATTCTGGATCAGCTTGATGCATTGGAACGCATTAATCGCTTGGACAGTTTTGACTCGATCGACAAGATTTGAGATAGCAATATAGGTAAGACTTCCGTCACTGGATTAAGAAAATAAATATTTTTGTGTTTGTTGCAAAATTCTTGTAGAGATCTTCACTTAGACCTTAAACCGCCAAATTATAACCACGAGAGCGACGGGTTAATCACTGCTAATATTTGAGCACACGTGTTTTAAGCACTTTACCATTTATCAGCAGCTCTTTGTGAATGTTCAACTTTAGATAAAATTTCCACCATACTGTGAACATCTTTAGAAACATCATGAACCGGCCACGATATGTCATGAATCACGGACCATACGACCTTTTTAATATCGTAGAAGCCAAAATATAAAACACATAACGTAACATCAACTCAATTTTAAAATTACATCATAAATGTAACAAAATTAACTTTAAATCAATTAAGACATTATATTTTTAGAAATCTATTGTTCTTACGGTCAGTAAACACAAAATATTTGCTGCAACTGCGTAAAAACACTGATATTGCATTTAATAAATACGACGGGGTTTTTAAAGAAGCATTTCACAATAACAAAACTAATCGTAATCTCAACGTTCACGTTTTTCGTTTTAACACTATCCGCCTGTAATTACACTCATAAATTAGTTCCAACCAGTATTTCATTTTAATATTTATAATCTACTGATAATTGTATCACTGCATCATATTACTCTTATATAAAATTATCATGCATATACATAATATTCTTATTATACTGAAGATGCAATCATAAGATGTTGAAACACATTTATTTTAAAACAACTCGTCGTATTTATTAAATGCAAAAAATATTTGCATAGCGAGAGTAAAGTCAGACTGACTACGCTACTGCATAAACATATACATATGAACTTTGTATGAAAGAGAAGTGTATTGATTTATTTGCAACCAATTATTTAAAGCAGAGATTTAAATATGTTTATAGAAATTTCTTTTATCCCAATGATTCTGACTTTTCTCTTATAGAAACGTATTGATTGTAGGCACGCGTTTCTGATTTTTCCTTTAAGATAATGAATATTTTATTGTTTTATTGCAGGTATGTCGAAGCCTGTAATTGAATGTTGAATCTTCTTTAATGATGAACAAATGGTGTAAAAGCACAACAAAGTATCAAAAGACCAGTTGCTAAAAATACTATCTTCACACAATTATAAAAGTAACTAGTATGGAATGAAGATACTGGACTGGATTACTTTGACTTTAATTTTATATACAGCTATACAACCATTGTAATTATACAAAAATCACTCCACACAAAGACTGGAACACATAATGACTTAAGTTTCAACATCAGATCACTTTTAAAGGACACTAATCACCAGACAAAATATATTAAAACTTTTACATTGATCATATCAGATAAGGCGACTCACAATTTTGATATCTGGAATTCAACTCTAAGATTCACTTCTTGAAGACATCAAATATAAAACCACAGATCATACCAAAAACGTTTTGATCTACATATCAAATTGCCTGTGATTCTTGGTTTTCTAATATATTTGTATAAATGTAATTTAGAGAAACTACAACGTATAATTCTAATTTAATTCGATGCCGCATCAGCAAAAAATAAAAGGAAAAACACGAATAGCACACAAATACAGGCATGGAGAATATTTTGCCGTGTGCTGAGTCTTTGTTATACGGCTTTGTCTCAAAACATGCTGACTAATGATTGTCAATTTCAAAAGGTCAACTTAACGCCAACGAAGTATAAAGTGAAAAAAAATGTAATGAAATATTTAAGAACTGACAATTAATATTGAAAAGGAATTCAATACCTTTTTGATGACAAAATTTCGTCCGTAACCACAAGACTATCCAAATTCTTACTATCCGCCATACTGCATGACTTCAGTTAACCAGCAAACTCAATATTTAAATAACTGGAATGAAAGCATAAGCCAAAAATTGAAACCAGTTAGGTAATTGCACTTCATGATTTGTACATCTTGTAGAATTTTGTGTCATTGCTTCAAAGCCATGTCTTCTTTTCTGTTAATCACCAATCTCAGCCGAAGCACAACGTTAACTAGCATTTGCAGTCAAATCATTAAGGAAATTTAATTTACCCGATCATTTTGAATGTTTTAAATGAATATTATCATGACGACATAAAGAAAAACAGGAAAGTACAAGAACAGCACCATCTTATTAACAATAACAAAATCAACTCCATCCACTAAAACTCCTTGTTTCTCACGTTAGGTAAATTCATGTGATGAACGACTATATCACGAGGAAGATTATCGAAAGATTTGTTGTGTAGAAAATTTGAGTTATTATATCAGCGACTTTAACTAGCTAAATAGACACTTCGTAAGAACTACCGTAGTAATTGAGTTTTCTCATAGTGGGCTAGAACATTCTGATAATTCCAAAATACAATCCACTTTCACAATGCCAAATCGTACATCCAGTGCTACGTGTACTGAGTTGTAATTTTCCTTTCTAAAAGGTAAGTTCTTTATTACTTCTATACAAATTACAATCATTGTTAAATAATTTTAATGACAAGCAAGCGGTTGATAAACTAACCTATAGATTAAGACATTAAAGTGAGCAGTCGCCGCAGAGTGTTTGATTTGAGCATTTCATAATTTAAATTTCAATTCAGAACTATTCCTGACTTGCAACCATTCTCTTGAGATTTACCAAACAATGTTGCTCGCCTACGTCGGCTAGTGCGAACAATAAAACTAATAAAATATTCATTTCTATCAAACCGTCAACATGGCTGAAGTCAAGAATTCACTCTCATCAAATGTTGTCAGTAGATGTTAAATAACTTCAACACGCATTTTACTGCACGTTCGAGTACAAGAGTTTAGAATGATCCTAACGAACAGCCAATACGACAAGAATAAAAACCAACCCGGAGCAGCAACTGCACCAGTAAAAGCACCATCATTTTTACCGTTTATAGGATATAAATGAATGACAAAGATGAACTTAATAAACATTAAGTGAGCAGGAGGCGGACAAAAAAGCAACTGAACTATAAATAACACGTGATTACTTGAAGATATCAATAGGCTACTTGATAGTACATGACGAGAAGAAACTGTTTTACTTAGGGTTCGTCTGCTCATATTCTTAGCAAGTGAAAGCTCATATATCATAATCGGAGAAACTCGTGATAGGGTTGGCTATATTTTTCATATCTAGAGTCGAGAATCTCTGAATGATATTCTGTACTTCTGTATTTGTAACAATTTGATATTTTACTCATAATTCAAACATAATTCGAACGCAAATATAAATTTTAAACGGGTTTAATGTTGCGGAAGTTTAGTACCGACTACCTAGATCAGTCTTTTGGTGGGTGTTCCGGCCAGTGTTGAAAAACAAGGAGAGGGGTTGACAAAAAACTATAGGAGAGAAGGACGTGTTGGGAGATCATATGCATTTTTCTTGTTTTGTAAAATCTTGTCTGGTAGCTTCAAACCCATTTCTTTTTTCGTTGATCTCTAGTCTACAGCCAAACATAATGCTCCTAGCACTCTAGCAATCAAATTATCAGAAAATTCAATTAACTCGATAACTTTGGATGAGTTTAAAATGAACATTATAATGGGGATAATAAGCAAAAGCAGGAAAGAACAAGAGCAGCAACATTATACTAACACTAACATAGTTGATAACAAAGTAAACTCCATCCACTAAAACTTCTGTTCTTACGTCAGGTAAATTAATGAGATGACAGTGTGTACATATTCATATATATTCCATTGACTCCAAAATTATGAATGAATGAAAATCCCGTTTAACTTATTTAAATAAATTACTGAGCATGCTACGCCACTGTTTGTTTGTAATTTAACTTTATTTCTTATTTAATGTACTTAGATAAAAAGTATTACAACTATTATTCTATTTCAAATATTGACTACATCTTTAGCCCAAAATTTGATCTTATGTTCCAAATTGTTTTCAAATACTCTTCAGAATCATTCACTCTCGTTCACTCTTATAGTTAAAAAGGAAATAAAATTCTATGCTTAATCATATTCTTCTATAGTACGTTAAACTTCAGAAAACGTCTAATAATTTCGCGAAAAAAATTCAACTTCCCCCATTTTTGAGAACTTTTAGTAGCCGTCAAATAACTACAATACGCAGTTCACTGCACTGTAGCAGAGTTTGAATTGATCCTAACAAAAAGAATGACCAATATGACAAAAATAATGAGCAAAATTGCAGCTACAACTGCACCAGCAATGGCTCCAATTTTTCCACCGTCTACAAGATAAAATTGAATGACAAATCATAACATTACCAACAAATATTGTCTTTCAGCGATCAATTTTGTAAAGCTGAGGGTGTAACCGCTCTCACACCCCGTGTAGTCATCCCTGTTAACTATTCATTATTTTATTTATGGTATAAATTAGGTTTGGAACGCAATGAAATTAGAGAAGACGTACACAAAATCACTAAGGCAGTTATTTGTAGGAATTAAATCGGTTGTATCATCAAACAAAATGTATATTCATCGTTAAAAATTTTAAGGCATTTTACTATACTGAAATTTGCAAAGATCTTGAATCATTGAACTTTAGACATCGATAAACATCCCTTATGCTATTGAAAGCAAACACAAACCTGAAGACTTATGCTTTTGGGCAGTTGCTGCCACTGGACTCCAGTCAGTGGAATAATAATCACCCTGAAACGAAGTGAACATTTATATTTGAATAAAAATTGCAGCAATCAATGCTGATGAAAACGTAAATAAATGGTCGCACCTGATCATTTATGAAAACGCGCTGAAATATTTTGTAGCTAGTGCCAATCTTCAACGGGCCATTATAATAATTTTCACTATTGGAACGCCGTGTTGTGTTTTCACCATGACCAAGTGTAAAATCAGGCTTAAAGTCTCTGCGAGAGACTACAGCAACAATATACGGCATTGGTTGTGTGGAAGATATGGCCTTAGAATAAGTCACTAAGTCTGTGTTTTTAAAGTTAGAAGGCAATCGACTCTCTTCTGTGACATTTTTCATCGCGACTACATAGAAATATCTGCAAATTTAAGGCAAAACATTTTTTAAAATACATGCATAACCTCTGCTTTTGTTAATGGTTAAAATATAAGTTATGCATGCATCCGCAATGCCAAAGAAAAGCGACGAGTCATCAAAGCTTTCCCAAGAGAGATATTTAGACTACCTCGATCCCACATGAAACCAACTGTCCTATACTTAGCCATGAATCCGAAAAACTCAAAAAATACTTTTAAAATCCTTTAAGTTTTTTTTACAATAATTTGTTATAGTAAAATACATAGTTACCGATATTCCACATTTGGATTTTGCAACAAATAAGTCAACGTATTTCCAATCTGCCGTGTGGACAGTTTAGGTGCCACTAAATAAATAAACTTGAATAAATTTATTATCTTAAACAAACCTGTGCATAAACCATAGACAACTTACATCCATTTGTAAATACCCATGTAACATTGCTGTAACATCCAGATCCCACTATTGTAGAAGCTAAAACACGAACATAATATTTTGTCCCTGGTTTCACTTGATTTATGTCCAAACGCTGTTCCTTGATCATATACTTCATTGAACAGGTTTCATTCTCCAAATGTGTAATACAAACAGTGTAACTGACTATCTTTCCATTTGTTTTGTTCTTATCTGGTGGCTCCCACGTAACTGATAACGATGAACTGCTTAAGGCGACAATTTGAATATTTAAAGGTGGACCTTCGGGAACTAAACAAAAATAAAAACATTTGTTTGAAAGATTTATATAAAATATTCAATACACTTTAGAAAGAAGTCCTAACAAGTGTACACTGTCATTCTTAACTTAAATATAATACAGTATAAAAAAAACATGATTGAAATAAATATCGACCAGAAAAGATTTGAGCTTTCAAAAGTCGTCTATGGCAATAACACCATCAATGCAACAACAGCCGATATGTATACACAAAAACTGATATGAACTCACCATCTTCAGCAGTTCTAAAAGTAGCTGTAGTTGATCTACCAAAGCCTTCAGAATTGCCAGCGGTTACATTAACTTTATACGTTGCGTAAGGAACAAGATTCGTAATGTTGTACGGTTTTTTGTCAGTTACCTCCAGAGTTTTATCAAAAACAATCATAGTATCCTTCAGCAAAATCAATAGATATCTTGTAAGAGGATTCGAGATATTTGTACCAAGTTTTACACCAGTTTTTTTGGGATGTTTCCATGATATCTCGAGGTACGTCGATGCAGATTTGGTTGCAATGAGATCTGTTGGTTTGTCTGGGAGTAAGTCTGCACGATAAAAGAAAAATCTACAAATTGAACCATGTGTAGCCCCTAAGTGAAATAAGTGTTCTGCTTCTCCAATAACACGTGTTAAACTTAACTGCATGTTGAAAGGCTTGTTTCAATAAGTTTATTTCAGAGAAAAGAAACTAACACTTCAGCCTTCATGGAAAATTGTTCTGTTTTGTCAACTAACTCATGTTTAATTAATACTCAGAGAAAAAACTTTATATATTGAAAATTAAGTGCTCAGTGCAAAGTAAACCTGGTATATTTTCTACCTCTTACCTCCACCACAAATTTCGTAAACACGGTGCACCAACAAATTTCAATGGAAAGATTCGCAAAGCTTTTGATTTAAGGCCACCAGAAAACTTTTCTATAGCCGCATCATTGTAACCATTTTTGTTTCCTAGATAAATCTGGAATAAAACAAAAAAAAAGATGTTCGTGTATTTGCAGAGCAAGGTTAGAGAAAAAGCAGGTTTGTTTAACGCTGTCCAGAGGAGAGTAGTTTATGCATTGTCTATGTATCTCTTCAAATCATGCACATAGCTACAATTTAAACTTTATAATCAAATGCAAGAGTCCTTCGTAGTGCAGGAGTAACCAAGACAATCAACACAGTGACGTAGCTAGCCCACAAATTTGGTCGTGCCTTATGTAAAATTCTCAGAGCTCAAAAAACAACTGTAAAAAGAATAGATCTCTAAGAAATGAATAATGATAATGATCTGAAATTTACATAGAACCAGCAATTTTGCGTGCCGGCTACACCACTGAATCAACATCTGCACACAAGTTTGTATATAAATAGCAATTTAAAAGTTTACTTAGTTTATAACTTCATTCCTTTTTAAATTTCCTTTAAATTTATAATATACAAATTCGATAAGTCTACTGTTACCTTCTGGGATTTTCAGATTTCCAGTTCACACCATCAATGTTTGTCTGCAAGTGATATTTAGTTACAAAGCTTGAACTTGAACTGTCTCCAAAGATTGCAATAACGTTAACTGTATAAAGACTCGGGAAATTCAGTTGAAGATAATGATTGCCATCTGCAGCAAAAGCACACCATGAACTGCCACTGGATATTCTTGCTTTAGCAGCACTACGACTCTTTGGGAAGGCAGTAAACCAAGAATCTGGGAACTTTTCTGCGTTTTTAATAGAGGATTATCACAAACATGACCTTAAATAGAAAGGATTTGGTTGAAATGCATTATAACATTAGAACTGGTTTGATTTGATAGAGAGCAATGGTGCACTCTCATATTGTTCTCCATTCACGTAAAATTGGAAAAATTAAAAACTGTTTTCTTAAGAAAGAAAAAGAGCACAAGATATATTGGAGGAATACGACTGATTTTGCATGCTTTTATTAAATAATAAATAATTAAAACAGGATTGCTGCGAATACTGAGGATTAAATTAATTTTCCTCTTGCTACTTCATTTCGTGCTTCAAAAATGTCAATTGTCATTCCTCTGCAATACGATTGACGTTCCTCTTTAATGGAATTTAAATCGCTACGGTATTGTTGTTATTTGACAAGATCTTACGGTTTCCTTGTCATAGCTGGCTGATTCCAACTGGAATATATGGATATGATCTTCGCACATTGCTGGACAATTTTTAAGCAATCGTCTCAGGACATGAAAAATCAGGTGACTCACGGTTCAGACTGACCTCTGCGGTGCAGGTGCAGTGCTCTGACCACTGAGCTATGAAGTCACACAGTGGTGAGCAGGTCAATATTTGTTGGGCTCATGTTTTATCGTGAAATGAATGTAATATGAATGTTTTTATGCATTGCGGTGTTTGAAAGTAAATGAAGATATGATCTTCGCACTTTGCTGGACAATTTTTAAGCAATCGTCCCAGGACCTGAAAAAATCAGGTGACTCTTCATTTAATTTCAAACACCGCACTGCATAAAAACATTCATATTACATTCATTTCACGAGAAAATATGAGCCTTTTGCCGACCTGCTCACCAATGGCGTGACTTCATAACTCGATCAAGCACACCAGCTACAGAAGATATGAGTTCAGGCTCGACCAATCACCTATTCAAAGTCCTGAACGATGCTCGCATAATCCCAGCAAAATCTGAAGATCATATCTTCATTAATTCAAACACCGCACTGCATAAAACATTCATATTACATTCATTTCACGAGAAAACATGAGCCCAACAAATATTGACATGCTCACCACTGTTGTGACTTCATAGCTCAGTTGGTCAGAGCACTGCACCGGCGAATCATATCTTCATTTGGATTGAAGACAGTAAAATACTTTGGACAAACCTTTATTTTCAACGATACATTGTGAAAATTTGAATGCTTCGAGCAAGTATACCTTTTAGGGAGGTACAACTTGAGGGAGTAAATTTTTTTTTGACGGGGTGGTTGGATAAAATACTCATAGACGAGGAGGTAAAGTCAAACCATAACTCAAAGCAATTAACATTTGCCATCACAGTGATAAAGGTAAACAATTTCCCGCTAAATTTGGAGAAATGGCTTCCTCATGACGCAGTCTAAACACTAGAAAATGTAAAGGAGAATTAAAACTTACTCTTTCTCTGACATTGCATCCATTGCTGCTTTCCACTTCCTTGATGAGATGAATTTCCGTTGCAAAGAATCACGCCGATCTGCACGAAAAGAAAGAGATGTATCGCTTGACTGAGTGGCTAAAAGATGGAAGCGTGCTTTATATTCCGATATCACGGAAAAAATTTGTTAATTTCTTTCATTGTGGACATGTTGCCATATCCAACTGGAAACACTCAAAGGAAAACTATAGTTTGAAAGCTTCGTTATTCTGTAAGGTACATACACGTTTGGTATTTTCTTCAAATGTTCAGACATGCATGTTAAACAAGACACCAAAACATTCAATCAACAATTAGGAGGACAACGAACTAGTTTAAAACAAAATGTTACTTCTAAACATGGTAATGTCTAAGCAAAGGAAGACTAGTTGAAGTTTTAAAGAATTGTCGATTTAGCACCGATTGATACAGTAACAAAGTTATTTTTAACTAAGATTAGATATGAGGCTGAAGTAGGGAGCAAAGTAAAACTTGGCATATAAGAGCCTAGATTTTAACAACCAATTAGGCTAATATTTCAGAGGAAACTTAAAATCCTTTATTTATACTAGATATCTCTATCAGTTCTGAACAGTTCTTACTGTAAAGATCATCTCTTATTGATCCAGTGTTACTACAGAAGAGGCCTAAACTAAACTAACTTCTTTTAGACTAAAGATCTCTATCAGTTCTAAACTTTTCTTTCTAATGATCAGTAAAGATCATATCTTGTGTACGATTCCCGCCTGGTTTATCGATCGTAACTTAATCTATATATACTAGATATCTCGATCAGTCTTAAACTGTTCCTTGCCTAGATCAACAAAATCATCTCTCATTGATCTTGCACATGTTGAAATAATACCAACAGTTACAACAAACCATATTTACCTGTAGCAATTTTAAAACCAACAACATCCCAAGTCAAGACGGTGAACTCCCCCAAGACATCTTTCTCCCAATATGGCTGCTGTGAACTACCATCGCTTGTGTTGTATAATATCACACCATTTAACGGTTCCTGTCTTTTTGTCCGACAATGTACTTTCTCGATGGTGCCTTGAAATGTGTCTTTGCTCACATCATCAAATTTCACTGTACCTTCTGGTAGACGCTCCACTGAGAGGGGAACTTCTTTACCTGACAAAATAATTGGCCAAGTTTTTACAAACAAATTTTACAAATTTCCAAAATAAACTTGTTGCTGTCGTCAGCTATCACAAAAATACGTCAGATGAGTCACGTGACACGTTTACCAAACCGAAAATTTCCAATCCTACGTCAAATGCCAATCAGAAGTCATCGTGTGTAAAAATAAATTACAAATGATCAAATCGTATACATAAGTGAAATAACTGATAAAACTTATTTTGTAAAACAATAAATTATCAATATTGATCTACAGGGAGCAACTGCAACGGCCCAAACACAAACCTCGTTCACTTTGTCAGCTCTGTCGATGAAGCCAAACGATTCAATGAGCGAGCAGATAATTCCTTGAACGTAAACAAGAGGCAAAAGCTTCGAGCAGCAACAACTCCACGGCACAGCATTGCCCATTTCTATAGAGGTTTATGAACTGTAGCAGTGCATCAAACAAACAACAATTTGGACATGACTCGTAAATTGGACATGGTTCGTGTAAATAATAAACTAACGTTCATGTTATAAGCGTTAACCAAAGCGTTTTCTTGTGTAAGGTAGCATATCAAAACGTAGAAATAAGGAGAAAGACTTCACAAAATAGAAAGAACATTCTTAAGACTGCATTCATTGCTTAACCACGTAATGTAATGCACGTGATGAAGCACGTGATACAATCTAGAGAAACAGTACAAGCTTTCAACGCTATAGCAAAGAATATAATTTACCTTTTGTTTTCCAGGATGTAAAAAGACACAGTATCACCTTTGTAGATGTGAGACTTTGATAAAACATCAGCTTGATAATGTGGAAGAAAAAAAATTCCTGAAGGAAAAGGAGCAATGGTTAGAATCATAAAGATCCACCCCCTAACAGTGCAGACCTGTATTATGCAATGATCTTAAACTCCACCCCTGATCATGCAGACGTTTACTATGCAATGATTTTAAGCGCCACCCCCTGACCGTGCAAACCTGTATTATGCAATGATCTTAAACTCCACCCTCTGACTGTGCAGACCTGTATAATGCAATGATTTTAAACACCCCCTGATCGTGCAAACCTGTATTATGCAATGAACAAACTCCACCCCTGATCATGCACACGTTTATTATCATGATTTTAAACACCACACCCCTGACCGTTACAAATCTGTATTATCCAATGATTTCAAACACCACCCCCTGACCGTGCAAACCTGTATTATGCAATGATTTTAAACACCACCCTGACCGTGCAAACCTGCATTATACATTCATTTTAAAGTCCACCCTGACAGTGCAGACCTGTATTATGCAATGAACTTAAACTCCACTCCTGATCATGAAGACGTTTATCATGCATTGATTTTAAACACCACCCCCCTGACAGAGCAAACCTGTATTATGCAATGAACTTAAACTCCACTCCCTGACCATGAAGCGTTTATTATGCAATGATTTTAACACCCCCTGACCGTGCAAACCTGTATTATGCAATGAACTTAAACTCTACCCCCATGACAGTGCATACCTGTATCATGCAATAATCTTAAACTCCACCCCCCTGACCGTGTAGACCTGTATATTGAAATTATCTTAAACTCCACCCCTGACAGTGCATACCTGTCTCATGCAATTATCTTAAACTCCACCCCCTGACATTGCATACCTGTATCATTACATGATCTTAAACTCATGTCATCTGATCTAATCTAATCCCATATTGCAGTATAATTTTAACTCATCAAGGGAAGAATACAGTGGCTATAATAGCCTCGTAATTGTGGGGTGGGAGGGTAGTCAATGTTTATGTAGGTATGCATGTCAAAGCCTAAAAATTAATTTAATCTGCAAAATATGCATAGCAACCTTTCTATGGTGTGGAGGGAACGATCAAAATCCAAAAAGGAAATAACGGCGAAAACCTGTTTCAATAAAGATGAAGGAAATGTCAATAATTTGCAGGCAGTAATCTACAGTTTCCCTTATCGTCATGTCATTAACTTTCTTGCCTGTTTAAATTTTGGGATTTTTGCCCAAAGCAAATATTTTGCTCACTGGTGTGTTCTGCATTTATTGCCCAATCGATAAATGTTCGATAAAAGATGTTGAGTAAAAAGTCTGATACTTTTTATATTTTACATTAATTCTTCTCTCTCAAACCCCCAAAAAAAATGACTTAAGTATTAAAGTTAGCCACGTAAAGATGCATAAAATGGAAAGTTTAAACAGTACTTACTCCATTCACTTCATAACTAACGACCACATTCGGACCTACATTCTTGAAATAACTGCTACAAAATAATGATGAAACTCTTTGAAAGCGACATCACAAACATTCAAAGTACAATAAAACAACAGAATCGCAACTCAAAAATTCATACGACCATTAACAACGAGTAATTTTAAAACAATATGCATAATGAACAGTGGTGTAGCAAGCACGATAACTGGGGAGGGGTAGCACATATCTATATATTCCACATATGCATGTCCTGCATTATTGAGTTCCATTGTGTTCCATGCATAAAGGCGTGCATAGATGAATTTGTTATCACACCACTCCTCATCCCTTAATTAACGTTTGCTTCGCCACTGACTATTACATTTTCCCAGCTAATTGATCACGATGAAAATCACCTGTTTGGGTAGCTGTATCTCGACAATCTCGCCTCAACTTCCACTTTACCAACAACTCTTTCCTCGCTTTTTTCCTACAAAGGAAACATAAATGGATGATTCACCAAAAGACGATTTCTCAATTTCTCGTAAAACTTTGTAAACCAAACCAGGATGAACGTGCATACACGGCAAGATGTCAATAATACACATGTTGATGTCAAAGCACTCATTGCGGTCAAATGTAGTTCAATACAGTTAAATGTAGATGAATGTATTCAAATGTAATTGAATGTACACAAAAGTAGATGAATGTATTCAAATGTAGATGAATGTATTCAAATGTAGTTGAATGTACACAAAAATAGATGAATGTATTCAAATGTACATGAATGTATTCAAATATGGTTGAATGTACACAAATAGATGAATGTATTTAAATGTACATGAATGTTTCCAAAAGTGGTTGAATGTACACAAAAAGTAAATGAATGTATTCAAATGTAGATGAATGTTTTCAAATGTGGTTGAATGTATAAAATGTGGTTAATGTCCTCAAACAGGGTGCAAATTACAAATGGGTATGTGAATTTCAGTTGAAGGTATTTTCCCAACTACACCAGCAATAGCACCAGTATTTCCACGTCTACAAGATAAAAATGAATGACAAATCATAACATTACCAACCAATGTTGTCTTTGCGATCATTTTATCATTTTCTAAAACTGAGGGTGTAACCGCTCTCACACCTCATGTATTCATCCCTGTCAACTATTCATGATTTATTTATGCTATAAGTTAGGTTTGGAACGCAATGAAGTTAGAGACGAAGTACACAAAATCACTAAGGCAGTTATTTGTTGCAATTAAATCGGCCTGTATCATCAAATAATATCTTTACTCATCCTTAAAAAATTTCTGGCACTTGTCTGTACTGAGATTTACAAATATTTTGAAGCATTGCACTTTAGACATCGATAAATTTCCCTTATGCTATTGAAAGCAAACACAAACCTGAAGACTTGTGCTTTTGGGCAGTTGCTGCCACTGGACTTGAGTCAGTGGAATAATAGTCACCCTGAAACGAAGTGAACATTTATATTTGAATAAAAATTGCAGCAATCAATGCAGATGAAAATGTATAAAAAATACCGCACCTGATCATTAATGAAAATACGCTGAAATATTTTGTAGTTAGTGCCAATCTTCAACGGGCCATTATAATAACTTTCACCAATGGAACGAAAAAAACGATACGGTAGCGATATAAATTCCATTAAAGAGTGAACGTTAATCATCGTGCAGAGCAATGACAAATGGACATTTTTAAGCACAAATGAACTAGCAAGAATAAAATTAATTTAATCCCAGTATTCGTTGGCCCTGTCTGAATTATTCATTATCCAAGAGTAGCAATAGTTTATATTTTGATATATTTGTAAAAAGAATAATTGTGAAATTCTCAAGTTAGCGTAAAATACAGTGACATTTGATGACAGATGTAAGTCTTGGTGATAGAGGTAAGTCATGATGCTCAACAAAAGACAAATGTAAGTTGAGAACACAAAAGTAACACATTTATTCCTTAAATTCTTCGCTCAAAACTTTTTCTAACGTCATACAAATGTGTCCTACAATACGTTGAATAGAAGAGGTACACAAAAATTCAGTACTTGACATTGGCAAGTACTCATGTGTATAATGTAACCTCAAGCACTCATGTGTATAGTGTATAGTCAAGTACTCACGTGTATAGTGTATAGTCAAGAATTACTCATGTGTATAGTGTGCGGTCAAGTACTCATGTGTATAGTGTACGGTCAAGTACTCATGTGTATAGTATCCCTAAAGTATACATGTTAATCAACAGAACGTCTCATCGTTATTTTCTAAATCAATGTTGTCCTACAACAATATGTTTACAAAATCTTTGTGGTTGAGAGTAACAACGAATGAAAACTTTAAACATACAACATAAGTATTGTAAACACTAAATGATAAAAAAATTGCTTACCTGTTTTTAAAGACAAGAAAAGCAAAAGTAAAATCAAAACTGTCGTTCACCATTTTAAAAAGTTACAATTTGAATGCCTTCATCGAAATGAATTTGTAAAAATCGAAAACACAATTTCTCCATGTACAAATAATCAATCTTTAAAATACAAATCTTTTTTTTGACAATTGTCAATTGGTTGGCAATATAAACTTAACTGTCTCGATGACACTGAAGAAAATACTGCAGTGTTGATTTGAAACAAATTACTCAACAGGAGATTTTAAGATGATATCAATCCATAGACATATCGGCACAATACCGCATTCTTTAAAGGTACAAAATCCACTTCTTCTTAAGATCACGTGATCACGAAGATTCTTTAATTATTTCTAGTCTTCTCGGCCCGTATAGCAACACATATGCACAATGCCAGTCACCTAAAGGAGAAACAGCCTTAACCAAGGATCATTAAAATAAACCAGACATTCAAATAAAATCAAAGCTATTTTGTATGACATAGAAGTGGGGTGTTGCAATTGCAAAAGACTATCTGCGATAGACTATTTCTGTTGGGAAAGACGTCTTTCGTGCAAAGTATACACATGTTTATTTGATTTTATGGAATGCACGTTAATGCTACTTTAATATTCCCTATTGTTATGCTATGCGGCATAAATAAATATTATTGATTTTCGACTAGTGCTCTTGATTATTCCTTCGCGCTAATGAATTTTCTAAATGACTATTGATAAGTCAAAGCGTATAATGGAATGTTCAATGTGCTCCAATGATGAGCAAATGATGTATTAAAATAGACTAGATTAAAATTATTTAAGAAATAAAAGATGTTTACTGTGTTTGCACAGGCCTATGAAAACCGAAGAGACCTTTGGGAGAACTCGAGAGAAGATCAGTGCAAGCCCGAGACCGACGTTCGAGGGTTGCACATGCTCGAGATTTTGTTTCGCTTTCGCTTCAACGTCTCAATTGCCGATGAAACCCACGCAAAATAAGTCTTTTCCTGGCTGAAAAGTTTTAGTCGGCATGAAGAAAGGTAACATTATATTTGAAAGAATGTTTAGACATTGTGATACGATAATTGATTGCAATATATATAAAAATTGCAATACCATTGAGAGGCTCTAATCCAAACACAAAATGAAGCAAAAACATGGTCATAAAGCATTGACAAAATTTTCAAAGAACCCTTCCTCTAAATTCAACTAAAACTTCAGCAGCAGATACCTAACACAATGATAATCACCAATGATAATCAACTTAGGCAGAGGAAGATCTTACCTCCCCGGGATAATTTCAAAACATCTTCTTCAGTAATGTGCGTTATTTTATCGTCGTCGCACTTAATCCAAGAGTCTAAAATATAAAGTAAATGGTTTGAGCCGGGAGTATAGCTACATGTTTGTTTGTGGATGTAGATAGAGCCCTGAGAAAGACTCTTGTTGTTGAATGATGACTAAAGTTTCGACAACCTTAGCGGGAGTCATCTTCATCTAAGGTTGTCCGAAACGTCAGTCAACACCAAAAACAACAGTCATTCTCAGAGTCTAAATATCTAAAAAACAGAACATAAAAGTGCATTGCATCCCCTGCAAAATTAGTTACAGACATTGATTACAACTTAAGCGCATGTTTTCATACTCAAAAGTCGGACAAAAATACGATTGAAAAGAAACGAAAAGTGAGGAAGTGAAGCGTTCGCCCACCTACCACGTGTAAACTAACACCTGTCATTTCAAGACATGATTAATGATATTAAACGGACGCTTGCTGCCCACACAGATTTATTTAATATAAGACCAATGCAAGTTCCACTTCATTCCACGTCCATCGTTTCTACGTTTTTACTTCATCATTCTGCTACGTTTTGAAAAGTTTTTTCGCAAAATGAAAACTTTGTGAGTTGGAGGTTTTCTGTCATGTTCTGCTTCAGTGTATTCGATCTGGGTAAGTTGTTGGAATTTAAATCATCACGAACAAGTGAAC